TTGCCGACTTGGAGTGTCTCTAGACCATCATAACCTGTCGCAGATGTCAATAAGGAAGAATCAGGAGTGGCATGATTCTTAGCACCAGTGTCAGGGAACCACTGATAAGGGTCATCCATAGTATCATCACCACCAGAAACGGCCACATTTGCCTGAGGGGGCCGCGAAGGGCAAGAAACGTTGCCAACAAAAAATAGCGGAATGACCCTGGTTGTTACAAATCTGACACTGAGGGCTCGAACCAGACCGCCCCCGGCCACGGCGGCGGTTGCCTCTGCCACGACCGCCTCCACCCCACGTTTGTGAACCACCGCCATGTCCACCGTAACCTCCACGGCTCACTGCCATTGCGGTCGGCGCGCCGAGAACAGCACCGTCGTCGGAGCAAATCCATTCTTGCGACACCAAAAAATCTGCCACCTCCGTGAACGAAACGGGAGCCTCTCACGCCAAGGTGGCCACCAACGGACGGAATTCAGGCCGTAAGCCGCGAAAGACGTACAAGTTTTGATCGTCTAACTCGACCTGACGGCCGGCAAGGGCCAACTCATCTATCAGCATCTGTGCACGGCCAAGGTAGTCGGAGATGGAGGAGTCGCCCTACCGTAACACTTACAACTCGTCGAGCAGTCGCAAAGACCGGGAGCGAGTCGACGAGCTAAGGGTTTGCTCGATGGCCTGCCAAAGTTGCCGGGACGTGGCTCGGCCGATGGCAAGGCGGAAAGTCTCCTCCGACAAGGACGAGATCAGCATGGACATGGTTGCTTTATCATGCCGTCTCCATGCGAGTTGCTGTGCCGAGAGATCCGAGGCGGTTGACGCATCACTGTCGGCGGTCGAAGCAGCCGCCGGCGCCGTATTCGGGAATGGAATAGTGCCATCAATAAAACCAAGAAGGCCTTGACCTTCCAGAAACGGTAGCATCTGCGTTCTCCAGAATAAGTAATTTCGGGAGGTTAACTTCAAGGGGACGAAGTGATGAGCCGACGAAAGGCTATTGCCGGTGGGCATTGGAGGAACCTCGGTAACAGTCAGTTCAGAAGATCCAAGAACAGAGCTGTCATAATGAGTACCGAGAGGTTCAAGGAGAGAAAACCTAGATAACTGATACCAGATGAGAATATAGATTGTGTTGTATTCAATACCAAAGTCTGAGAGTACAAATATATAGACACGAAATAGAGTTCTAGTCTAATACTAATAATATAGTCCTAATAAAAACTATAGAGACCAATTTTTAAAAAAATTTCTTAGCTTCTATTTGTGTGTCATCTACTACGAGGAGGATTTTGAGGAGTGTGACAACGTAAATCTTTCTTATCTTTTCTTTTTTCTTCCTAGTGGAGAAAGGGAGTGTTTGTCTTTTTGGTCCGAAAATTATGCACTTGAAGAAGAAATTTGTGCAATTGAAGAAGGAAAATTATGCACTCGATGTAAAAAAAATACATTAACCTACATAAGCTTACCAAATATATATATATATATATATTAAGGATCAAATGAGGACACTTCCCCACATGAGGTGTGTGGATTAATCCTAGCCTTAGATATTGTCTTGATGTGTGGTTAGGATTTTTTTAATTAATTTCCTTTTGCACGGTTTTGGGTGTTTTTAGTAATTTTGATTTAATTTCCTTTCATAGTTTTAATTGGTTTGGGTCGTTATGCATGTTTTTAGGCTGAGTAATTAAGGTAAGGTAGGATTTCTCATTATTCTACTGTGTATCCAATTTTTTGTTGCGTCTCGTGCTTGAGAGATATTTTGTTCCGACTTCATTGTAGTTTCAACGTGTGGATTCCGTGCATCCGTCTTTGATCATGTTTGTGGTCGTTCGTTCGTATGGAGTCGTTGGGTTTATCTTTTTTAGCTGTTGTTTTTCATTGTAATGGCTTGGTGTGGATTGTTATGAGTTGTGCACCGTTGTTTACTGTATTTATGCATTTATGGCAAGCTGGTGGGTTAATTGGGTTTGGCTGCAGTTTTGTCATTTTTCTTTGCATTTTTTGGTCTGTTTGCAGTTCTGAGTGGCCAGGTATGTTTTTTTTTTTGTTTTTTTTTTTTTTTTCATTCGTTTTTCATTGGCAAGGATTGTTGCTTTTTGTTCTCGATTGTGCATCGGTGTGTTCTGTTTTTGTGCATTTCTGGTGTGTGTTGGTTGCTTTGCATTTTTTCTTGTGACTCTTGGCATTTCCCTTTATCGGCAGCACGGTTGTGCCTGGCTTTAGGTTTTTTGTGTGCATGCAACATCTAGTGACAGTGCATGGTGCATGGTGTTATCTTGATGAACTTTGTTTGAGTTTGGTTTAATCCAGTTTCTTATTCATCAGATCAGGTCGTTGTTGTTCGCCCTCCTGGTTTGTCTAATAACAAAAGAAGTGGTAAATGACTCAAAAGCTCTAGGGAAGTTGCTGTGGAGAAGGCTTCACGCCCCAAGTGGATATGTAGGACTTGTAAACAATTTGACCATCATGATAGTCGTAAAGGCCCATTTTTTGCATGTGGAATAAATTGTTAGTTCTATTTTAGGATTTTTGTTATTTTTCACGATACAACTCTAGTGTTTTGCACTTGCTTTTTTTTTTTTTCTTTATTGTGTTGTGGACCTTTTCGTTTATTTCACAGTGATCTATAGTTGGTATTAAGCTTTCAACATAGCACATTATTTGTTTAGTGTATTGCTGATGGATCTCAGTGTGCATTTGGTATAAGTGTTTTCTTGTTGGTTGTTAGGGTGAACCTGATAACAAACTGGTTTTGTATACTCGACCTATTATTTTGTGTAGTGTACCTTTCATTCATGTCACTCTCTTGCCGAAATGCACTCCAACGAAAAAAAAAACACACCATGCGAGTAGTTGCACCCAAATGCACATTGACAATCAATAGAATTCGTCTGAAATTTAACACACACCAATTTACACCAACAAAGATATTTTTGAGTAGTAGCATACGTCGAGTCTAAGAAAAAGTTTAATACATACGTCCGAAATAAAACACATAAAGCTGCTCAGTTAAAAAACTACACATATCATTACTGTGTTTAACAATATGTTGTGGTTCGTTGCCATATTGAAATTCCAATCACAGTAGGGAATCAAAATCACCATAATAGAGAGTTGGTTGTTGAGGCCACGAGTGTAAAAACTACCACACACAAATCTATCATTACAATCCACCACACTAAAGAAATTAACTTGAAGCCCAAAAAATAAATGTTCCACACATTTCAGCTTGTCATACGTTTCAGCTCTAAGAGTTGATTGCACTATCGTTGCCTTCTCTTTGACGTGCATATCATCGAGGAAAGTAAAGAGTAGGTCCTTCTGTGAGATGCCCAAGATTGTTAGTTATGTGCTTCAGTTGAGTAGTGCTGGAAAAATTAGCCTAACCAACACACCTCACTGATGCCAACATGCAACCAACACGTGAAATGCACAGATTGAAGTACATGAGATGCACGCTTTAAATGCACAGATGGAAGTTCATGAGGTGCACTCAACACCTCACTGCTACTGGATTATCAATTCGAGTTGTACACTCACTAAATGTGAAATATCAGCACGCAAACACCTAACACTCTTTTACATATATCTTCAGCTCTGTTACACGCACACCGATGGCCATGTAGCCTTGGAATGAACACGTAAAATTGTCCAAAATGTATTGATTATCCATGCAACTATGCACCCTAACTAATTCACAACATTGCTCTATGAATGCACCATCTATACACGTAAAAATGCACACAAAAGTATCTCCACATATGCATTCTGGTTATTTAATTTTTTAACTTTAAAAATCACATTTTCATTTATCTTAGTCTGGGTAGCTTACCAAGTCCTCTCATGATGCTACTACAAACACTACCACACATGTACAGTCCCTAATGCCAATGGCCGAAACACAATGCAAATGCACATATTATATAGAACATCACGCATATTCTCCGTCTCACAACCACATCTCTCAATGATGCACCGTCGCAAACCCGAACCTCAGACCTGCTGTGAAAAGGGGGTTTTTCTACCCTTTACTTCGACCACCTACGCTCCCCCACACCACACACACACACACAGAGGGATTTATTCACAATTTATGTATGGCTTATTCTCATTCAGCACACACAAAAAGAAGGGTAACATACATACCTATCTTCCTCATCGGCCATGGATTCAGATTTCTTCTTTGGATTTCTTCTTTAGGCTTGAATTTCTTCGTCTGGCCATAGAACAGTAAGGTAATCGTGTTCATTAAGGAAGGGAACCGAGGATTATGGGTACGGGTATCTCAGAGTTTCCATTCTGAAGAGTCGCACGATGGACTTCTTTTACTATTTTACCCCCTTTCGCAATTAATTTTCTTCGCTATCGCTCTGCGTTCGCGACGTTCATTTCTCCCCAGCGCCCAACCACAATCGTAGATCTTAGTAATTGTAAGGCTGAAAATAGTCCACAGTCCTCATGTGGGATATTGTCCACTATATATATATATATATATATATATATATATATATATACTAGTTTTGACACGCGCTTTGCGCGATTAGACCAATGCCCAATGTGTATTTATAAATTAGTGTTCCTTAATTGGTTAAAGTATTTATATAATAATGAGAGAAAGAAAAATGTGAAATGTATAAAAGATAAAGAAATAATCTTAGTGATTATATATTTTAATAAAAGATAAAGAAATTTAAAATAGCTAAAATAGAATTAAAGTAAAAACAAATAAACCACTAACTAAAGCTGACTATTTATAATGAAAAGAGTAGTAATTTGAGCAGAGTAAAATTTATTTTTCTTAGTGCATGTTTGTTGAGGCTCGGAATTGTCTTCTTCTTTTTCATCTTTAGTGAAGTTGAGTTTCCTTTTTGCTGGTTGTGTGTTTATTGCATGTTGTTTACTCGTGGTAGTGAATGACAATTAATCGTGCAATGATGTTATGGTATATGATACCATGTTTTTGCCTTGTTTTGTGTAGGATTGTGACCTCAATTGTATTATATATTCTTCATCTTGTAAGTGGTTATTGATATGTTAAAATCGTAGCTGTTGACCCTGCAAGATGTTTATGTAGTTAGTCATAGGTTAATTTACTATAAAACATGAGTGGTTGTGGGTGGTAAAGGATGAATACTTGTTGTTCCAATTGCATAACTTGTTTGCTCGTAAAGAGTAATAGTTGTTCAACACATTTCCCAAACACATATGCAACAAGGCATCCACTTCCATCAGTAATTTCCACATCCAGTTTACACCTATTATGAATGTTTAGATTAGCACTGTTGTATTATGTTTGTGTAATGATTAAATTGATACTAATCTCCTTCTAACAAAAAAGAAAAAAAAAACTGTGTATAAAAATTGTTACTTACCATGGTGTTCCCACTGCATTCAATTCACCACAATGCATGCAATTAAATTGTTTGTCACTTTCCGCGTAAACCTTTTTCATACAATGACTACATCCAATGTACAATGTGTTTTTTATCTGATGCTTAAAGCTGATTTTCCCTTTTATCCAAGCATGTTTAATTTACAAGTTGTCACGAGTAAAAAAAATGAATGTTAATGTTAAGTATAAAATATTGAATTATTGTGTAAAACCTATTATATATATATCAAATCAATTGATGGAGGGATATTAGCAATTGTAAAAAATTTTGCAGTTTCTGGATTTGCAAATTTTATTGCAACGTCATTGTAGTCTCGACATCGTTTTAATGCATCAACTGTAGCACGATGCTTTGTTCCCCTAATAATACATACAAAAGAAATGTATTTTTAAAATAATGTGTGTGTGGGTGTGTATATAATTCATATTATTTTATATTTTATTACACGTGGGGAATCACAGTTTGCTGTTTGAGATAATTGTATGACCATGTGCTTAGTTATTATTTTCATTATTATAACATTTACTTTGATTTCATAATGTACTTTTGCCGCGACGTTTTTCGTTAGCAGGATCCATTGTTGCGTAAGCATTTCGGCGTCTCAAGTTCCCCTCTGCACGTAGACTCTCATTACAAGCATACCGCTCCCTATAAATAAATAAAGGAGTGTGCAACACAAAACAGAAAAACCATTTATTATATTATAGGTGTGAATAATACATATACCTTTGCATTTTTAGCTGTGAATTCTAAAGCCTACAAAATCAATTCCATAGAAAAAATAAGTCCACACAGAACCCCTAATGGGCATCATTTGCATTAAATAGGAAAAATTCTGGGACACCGGGATACAAGGTTATTAGAATGTAATCAACTATCCTTACAGTAGTATACAGAAAAGACTCAAAAGAACACTACAGATCATGATCATTTGTATTGCATCAAAATAAATATAATAGCAAATGTATATATTACTGAGTATAACGCAAAATCTACTGTTTTCACAAGTCAAACATATCAAGAACCCAAACAGTACAACTTATTACTGCAATATAAGATTATGGAATATGCCTTCCCTACCAAAATATCATACCTGGCTTCCCTCTTATGGAAGGCCAGCCCTCAATATTCATTGATCTTGTAAGGGTTTTCATGCAAGTTATGATGCAAGCTCCACTTCCCCCCCAAGGAAAGACATCTAACACCTTCACCACCTCACCCCCACCCAATAAAAAGAAAAGAAAAAAAAAAAGAAGAAAAAAAAAGGCATCAGGAAACAGTCAATCCATGTTCAGAAAAGTGAAGTGAAACAAAATACCACCATCTAATTTAATGAGATACCTTGCTGAAGTAACCAGCCAGCAGAGCACTGTGAGGACGCACAGGTTCCAAAAATGAGAATAGCAAGTTCATTAGCTGCCAATCAAAATTAAAAGTCTATTTAAAAGCATTTTCTTCCAAATAAGAATAAATAAAGCACAATGAAAACATGTATTGTCACCTCTTCATCATCAACCAAAGCTTTGAGAATTATATCAACCTCACAAGTAAAAATTTCACAAGCAATAAAAGGAAACCTATTCACCGACATGAACCCCCCAAAAAAAATAATAATAATAATAAAAATTAGAACAATACAACATATTCAAGATAATGTAAATATGCAAGAAATTAATAGGCAGGGCAAAGATATTTTTTAAGTAACTCATTCGTTTTTTCTCAGTTTCATCTGCAGCCTCTTCCACTATATATCTGACAAGTTGTTCCACTTGACTTCTCTCCCGTAAACTTCCAAATAGCCCACAAGTGAAAACAAATATTTTAGAGTGGCAGTAAATAGAAAGTTTACAAGGAAACAGCTCAAAGAATTTATATTTACAAATTTCAACATGAGAGATAATATTGTAGTAAGGTAGGAACAAAGTGATAAAGACACGAGCCTTCATCATTAACCAGCAACTAACTAAATGGACAAAGGCTGAAAGCATTAAAGCACTGCATCATCTAACTATCAAAATTAGATGTTAAAAAAAGTTGAAGATGCATAGTAAGAATATGTACTTACAAAAGACACAACATGAGAGTTCAAATCAAGCCTGTTTACTTTCCATAGTCTAGAGGCAAGTAAGCTGAACATTAGCAGAACAGAGGTAGGTACCTTCCATTATGATCACCTACTGAATTAAAATCACTGAATCACATACTGAATTCTCATCAGCCATACTGTAAGAATATCCACCCTGTGTATCTGCTTGCAAGTTGTGTTCATAGCAATTTCTAATATGAGAAGTAAGATAGGCAATAGAAAATTACAATTCCAGATTTCTACTACTCACTCTCACTCAGGACAAAAAGAAAATCAACCTGCCATGACACCAGAAAAGCTTTTCTAATTGACCTTCATCATCAAGAATACACTCATAGCAGAACATAGAATCTGATCTACTTAATTTTATGATGCAAATCTCAAGTAATGCATAGACAAAATTAAAGCAAAAGCAATGCATTGACAATTCTGCAAGATCACAAAAACTCATACTTGGTATGCTTGAATTAATTGGAGTAATTCATAATCTATACTTGATGTGATTTTGCCTCAATAAACTCAGAATCTATACTTAGAACAAATTAAAACCTAGCAATGCCATACTTAACTAAGAATTAGTTTGAAGCAAATTAAAACAAAATTTAAAGCAAAAACTATAACATACATCCAAACCATTCCAAAATTCTGCACTTTTTTCAAATGAACTAATTAAGTCCCAGCAAATTTGAGCAAATGCTACCCAAAATTTTTACTTCCACATCGAAGCAAAACCCATCTGAAATATCACAGATTTGCATTCCACTCAAGCTACCCCTACTTTCATAGCAAATATGGTAACTTTTCAACCACTAATATGCCATTGCATATGCATAGATCAAAGATGAAACTTTACAAGAATTGAATTATTGTCAAACCATTCAAATCAGTGCCATAGATGTAATTCAATCTCTGCATAATTGTAAATAATTGCATACTAGACGCAAAGAGACCAAATCGGCTTTGTTTACTTTGTTTCTTCGTTGGTGTGTGATTCTTCTTGCTTCTCGTAATTGGCGGTGCTTCTCGTAATTGACGGTCGGCTGTGCTTCTCCGCTGGATTTCTCCATCCTTAATCGCGGTCGGCTGTGCTTCTATGCTCACCCATCATTGCCGATGAAAGGAGGCTCAGGCGGCGGGCAGTCTTCATCGCGGTAGACCGGAGGAGAAGGGCTACGGAATGAGTTCTAGTAAGGTGGCTGGCAGTCTTCATCGCGGTAAAGTGGAGGAGAAGGGCTACGGAAATTGAGTCCTAGTAATTGCCATTTAATTTTACGAAAATTTCAAATTTGCCACCGCTAAACATCTTTTGACAGAATTTTTAAGTTTAACAGTGAAAGTTTGGTATAATTTAGAAGAATGAGGTTATATTAGGAATTTAAGTTGGCATTGTACAATTAAAAAAGCGCAAAGTACAATTTTGTTGAGCATGTGGCGTACCGACATTTTTTTTGTTCCGGTTAAGGGTCTAACAATATTCGCTTTTATTAAAATTGTATATGTAGATATGTAGATATGTAGATATATATATATATATATATATATATATATATATATATATATATATATATATATATATACCCCCAATTAACAAGCATTAGTGAAATAACATTCTCTGGACAAATAATAGCGCATCAGCCAGTACCTTATACAATTTTAATGTAAAATTGTAGTACGAATAGGGAGAGGAATAATATTATTGAAATGGAGTAGTGACAGAATAATTTTATTATTTTATTTGGAAATTTTTTTATCATGCCTTCTAATTTTTATTTATTTATTTATTTATTATTATTATTATTATTATTATTATTATTATTATTATTATTATTATTATTATTATTATTATTATTATTATTATTATTATTATTATTATTATTATTATTATTATTATTATTATTATTATTATTATTATTATTATTAATTCCGTAAGAGGTCCCTTGTCTTTGGTGGAAATTCTAAATTTAGTTCGAGACTATCGTTTTTGCCATTTAACATCCCAGACTATTATTTTTGGACAATTTTAGTCATTCTCATAACTTTTCCTATTTTTAGTAAGGGCATTTTTGTATCTTCATATTTTTCTTTTGTAATTTTTCTAGTTTCAACCGGTTTAATTGGTTTAAAACTTTACTAAAGACCGGTTGAAAAATATGATTATTAAAAATTAGAGGTTACCTAAAGTTCTAAACCAATTAAACCGGTTGAAACTAAAAAAAAATAACAAAAGAAAAACATGAAAAGACAAAAATGCCCTTACTAAAAATAGAAAAAGTCATGAGAAGGACTAAAAGTGTCCAAAAATAATAGTCTGGGGTGTTAAATGGCAAAACAATAGTCTGAGACTAAATTTGGAATTGCCACCAAAGACAAGAGACCTCTGCTGAAATTATTATTATTATTATTATTATTATTATTATTATTATTATTATTATTATTATTATTATTATTATTATTATTAAACTAGCCGTGTTTAGAGTAAGTTTGTTATTCTATAATATAATGTACAAAAACTCTCATAAGGTACACTTTTAATTACATTTTGAAAATAATATATGGTTGATTTCAGTTTGTAATCACGTCTATTATTAATATACTTCTCTAATTAATTAAAAATTCAAGCTAAAAATGTGTCTTGTAGAATTGTAGTACGAATAGAAAAGTAGAAAACAATATATTCTATTAGAAATTATATTACACTATTTTACAATATTAGATTAGGAATATTAATGTAGAATCGTAGTACGAATAGAAATGTAGAAAACAATATATTTTATTATAAATTGTATTATAGTATTTTACAATTTTACAATAGGAATTTTAATGTAGAATTGTAGTACGAATAGGAAAGTAGGAAACAATATATTTTATAGGAATTGTATTACACTATTCTACAATATTACCAAAAATATTATATAATTTTTTTAGACGAGAAGTTAAAATTAAAGATTTTTTTTTATTAACAGTATAGAAGTATATATTATTCTTTAGCTAGCCAGGTTTGCTAAACAACCTCATATATGCTCTCAGGGCGTAGTTATGTTATTTTTTTAATGCGTCAATTGATGTCACTAATATTTTGTTTCTTATTATTTATGTGTTTTTTGAAAATTTTAAAATTAACTAAATCAAAATATATAGAATTAGGGTTCTATTGAGCAATTAAAAATGAGACTTAATTTTTTACATAATATTTTTTTTTTTATTCTCACAAAATTCAATGTTGAGTTAAAAATTTTGTAATGATATTATTATTGACAGCTATACATATGGCATTCGCCTTATTAGGAAACAATTTGATTGATACAATATGATTTAACTATATAAAATATTTTAATAATACTCATAATGGAATGTTGTACACACACGCACAAAAAAACATAAAAAATCCTTAGATATTTACATGATAAAATAATATAAAATACACACTTGTGCATAATTTTTTTTTTTTTTTTTTTTTTTTGGTGGCAAAGAAAAATTATCAATCAATACATGAAAGTGAAGATTTTTTTTTTTTTTGGGTAACGGGAGAAACTTCTAGTCACTATCCGATGGTGTACACTGTTTCATTCTCATATAATAGCTCACAAATAGTCCCCAAATCACATAAAAAAGATAACCCGCATTAGAGAAATCTTGTGCAATAGAGTATTGACAAGAATCAAATTCATAACTATCTATATATGAAAATTATGCTTCATCAACTCAACCATCTCTTCCTAACAAAAGTATTCAGTGTGCAATTCTAATTCCTCGTAAAACATGAGAGTCAAAATGTCAAATACTAAAAATAAAAGTGACAAACACAATTGTTAGGTATAGCGTTGATAAGCACAAGATTTTGATGTGTAATTGTGTGTTAATTTCATATACCATTACTTTATTATTTTTTGAAAATAAATAAAGGACCTTATATTAAATAAAAAATAGATGACATTAATAATAAAAGAAAGTGGAGTGACATGTTACTCCTTCACATCAAAACTGCTTTCCGGCCAGTAACATGATCTGAATAAACTCCTTCATATCATTAAACATTATTGCAGCTCTTTAATGCCTTCAACAATATATACCAAAGAAAGAATTAAACAACTCAGCATATATATTGGGTCTACTCAAAACAGTTCATGACCTAAAAAAAAAAAAAAAAAAAAAAAAAAAAAAAAACCAAACACATAATAAAACCACTCAACATAGAGATACCATCACTTTATTATATATAGTTTAATAAATATTTCTAAAGATATATATACCAAAAGTTGAAAACTTAATGCTTTCAAATTACTGGTAAAAAAACGATGCCTTGTCATTTTTTTTTTTAATTTGTCAAAATTTATTTTTTAACAACCATTGTCTACTTGAGAAAGATGGCGATCGGCAGTGGTGGCCTTCTTCCTCAACCTAAAGAAGGTAATAAACTATTAGTTGTGCGCTTCAAAGAATTCTCAATGATAATACTCTTAGAGTTGTGAGATCATGATATGTTTTCAATGTTTAAAAAGTACGGCA